CATAGTACAGTTTCACAGGTACCTGATGATGGCGTTAAACTACAGCATTTACTTTCCCTCTGTGAAGGAACAGCCTATTCCGCTATTCAGTACTGCGTACTGAAGCCAGCCACAGAAGGGTACCAAGCAGCTCTCAAGAAGTTGAAAGAAAAGTTTGGAGATGCTGATATAATCACTAAATCCTGGAGTGACAAAATATTAAAGAGAGATGCAGTCACCATCGACTCCCTCAGCGACTTTACAGATGATCTGGGCAATTGCTATGGCACTCTGGAAGCATTGGGGAAACTAGCCGAACTAGACACTATGGATGGATTGTCCAAAATTGTACATATTCTGCCATTATTCCTCAGAAATAAATGGAAAGATGTTAACTTCAAACTGAAAGCGAAAGGTACCACTGCAACACTTAAACACCTTGTTGAATTTGTCCAGAAAGCCAGGGACAAGGAAGACGACCCTGTCTTTGGCAGAACACTGACGAATAAGAAACCAGAAAGGGATAAACCCGTACACAGGATTAATATAAAGAACCAGCGATCCCCAACAACTATGAACTTCACGCAAGCTAAAGATAGCAAGAAGTTACCAAGAATGTTCTGTCCATATTGCAATAGTACTGAACACTTCCTTGGGGGTTGCAAAAAACTTCAGAGAATTGGACAAAGGCCAGATGATGGACTGGATAAGCCACAATAACCGGTGTCGAAACTGTGCAAGAAAACACAGCACCTCAGAGTGCACTCTACGGAAGGGCTGCAAATTATGCTCAGAGATTCACCTTACAGTATTGCATGACACCTTAACACCAACTTCTCATCCACATCCAGCCACAGCAACCAGCTAACTGTACAGTTTGTGCCAGCAGTATAAACCGAGAGACGTATTCCTAAAGATTGTTCCTGTAACTATATATAGTCCAACTAGCCTGATAGACACCTATGCCGTATTAGATGATGGATCAATGAGAACTATGTTGCTTACCGAGGGAATGACACAGCTGAACCTAAAGGGCACGAAAGACAATATTGTTTTGAAGACA